CTGCGTCTGGCTCCCAACTCCCAACTACAGCCGGCAGCTTGGTTCCCCACCCCCCACCCCCGCACTGCCACCTCGCCTCGCGTCTTCCCGTTAGCACAGCAGTGGGGCTTGGGGCAGCCTAGCATTTGAGGGTGGTGTGTGCCCGAGTTTGCTGGGTCAAGTCCCCGTGCCCTGTCGTTAGATGCTGTAGCAGGAATCTCACGTTTTACCATCGAGTCACTAACAACCCTAATTTCCTTTTCAGGACTGTAGATGTCATGTCACTCCCTTTCTTCCCCAGGTGTTCAGCTCCCGACAGGCACTGAACGGCCACGCCCGCATCCACGGTGGCACCAACCAGGTGACCAAAGCTCGGGGCGCTGTCGCCTCTGGGAAGCAGAAGCCGGGCAGTGCCCAGAGCGGGTACTGCTCGGTGAAGAGCTCGCCCTCTCATAGCACCACCAGCGGCGAGACCGACCCCACCACCGTCTTCCCCTGCAAGGAGTGCGGCAAGTAGGTGGAACTGGGCCGGGGACTGGATCTAAGTGTGCGTTGGACAGTGCGCTCTGTGGGGGCCGGGCCAGGAGGGCCCGAGGTCTCTTCAGTTAGAAACATAACCTGGGCTCTGAGTTCTCCCTGATGCCACCCAGGGGGTCTGCATGGGGCCTCAGGGGTGTGCCCTTTGTCTCTGACTCGGGATTTGGTCATTCTGGGGTCAGCCTAATGAGGGTGGATGTCTTCAGAGAGCAAACCTCTAGTGACCACATTTTACTCTTTTCCAAAAATGTGGGAAGAGTAAAATTTTCCAACTTCTGCCCGTCGCTCCCAAACCATATTCACTGGCATTGCTCTCTTTGCATCCCTGTGAAGTTTGAGAATGGCTCTGAGACACCTACTCAGGAACTCTCTGTAGCAGAGATGGCTTGCCTTCCCCTGCTGTCATTCCTGTGCCCAGGCAGACATCACCAATCAATTGCTGCACTTTTGCTACCACTGTAAGACAAGACTTCAAACCCTTTCATCATAATGCTTCAAGCGGGCCCAATCAATTGATCAGAGTTGACTCGTGAGAGAACACCTATTTAGCATCCCTGCCCTTTTAAGTATAATTTAAAAGAACAGCAAAGAGGGGGGAACTGACCGTGGGTAGTAATAGTAACAGCTCGCATTTACTGAGCACTTATTTTGCTTTATACTTCATGTGCATGAGCTCACTGAATCCTCACCCAGCAACTCCAAGGTTTTATACTCGTTTTACAAATTTGGGTTGAAACTTAGGTGAAATGACTTGCCCCAGGTCACACCACCTGTAAGAGCTGAGCTGGGATTTGAACCCGGCTGTGTTCCAATGCAGAGCCCGACTCCTGACCCCTGCTCCCTCCTGCTGGCTTGCACTGTTCATTTATTTACTTTAAAGAGAAAATATCATTGGTGGTAAGATGCACACGGTTCCCTCCCACAGCATCCAGTACAGAATTCCAGTTCACTCCCCAGTGAGCCTGCCCGACTGGCAGGGGTCAGGTGAGACGTTGTGAGTGATCCTTCAGGACCCTCGCCGAGTTTCTCTTCCCATGTTCTCCAGTGCCTCACACGTGAAGAGTGATAGGACCGGGAGAGATGGCCACCTGGTAGCTGCTGGAACTCTGCCAGGAAAACACCCCTAGTTGGATGAATGAGGCCCACTTTACGATACACATTCTCGTGGGATATTTCGGGGAACTTACTAGTAGCTGCCCCTTATCAGGCGCTCACTCCCTGCCTGGCACTCCTTTCAAGGATGTTTGCACGTGTTGGTTAATTCAATCTTCACAGGAGCCTTGTGAAGTAGGTCCTTTTAGTAGCTTCTTTTTTATAAGCAGAGACACAGGGCACAGGCTAAACGGTTTGTCACGGTGCATAGCTGAGTGGAGATCGACGGCAAGCAGGCTGGCCCGACCCAGGTTCTTAGCCCCTGAGGACACCTGACACCTCAGCGGCCCCCACCAAAGTGAGCTGGAGCCAGCGGCGCTCTCCCTCTGAGAAGCACAGAGGTGGGGCAGGCGGTTTAGGCGCCAGTCCCCTCCTCTCTGCTCTGATGTCCTTCGGAGCCAGGGTGTGCTGTCATCTTCATGTCACAGAGAACAAGTGCCCCTGCAATGATCATTAGGGTTATTGGCTTGAAATAATACCTCCTGGGGCTGACTCCTCACCTCCCACCTGCTTGCTTTGGGGCGGTGTGGGTGGGGGTGTCGGGGTCTCGCCAGTTTCCTCTGAGGGAAGACGGCATTTCCACTCCTCTGCTCCCGCAGGGTGGAGACAAAGGGCATTTTAACAAAAATCCGTGTTTCGAGCTTTCCGGCTCTTCCAGGGACATCTGGCTCATCTTGTCTTTATGTTGCTTGGAACCCTTTCCTACCTTCACTCCAGTAAAGATTTATATGGAAAATAGAGGTAGTTTCTGTGGTTTTCCCAACTGGGAATAACATTAGGTAGATGGTTTCATAATGCCTTTTAGCTGCTGAAATTCAGTTTTCCGTGTGTCTAGTTGTGATTCATCAGCTCTGACTCTGGTCTTAGGAATCAGCTTTGATTTTTTGTGTTTGTTCTTCCCTCCTTTAGCTCAGCAGTGAGTGTAGAGCATTGCGCTGTCCCCGCTCCATAAGTAGGCAGTCTCACCTCCAGGCACGCTTTCTGAAAAAGATCCCGCTAGGGCATGTTAACATGAAGGCCAGACGTGGCTGTATTGCAGTAAAACTTTCTTTACAAAACCGGCAGGGGCTGGCCGCACTGGGCCCGCTGACCTTAGTCTGCAGCCTTCTTATCCCAGGGTTTCTCACCCTCAGCACTGACATGTGGGTCTGATCGTTTCTTGTTTGTGGGAGTGGGACTGCCCTCGGCATGGAAGGATGCCTAGCATCATCCCTGGCCTCTACCCACTGGAGGCCAGGAGTAACTCCTTCCATAGTTGTGACCATCAGATGAGAACAACTGTTTCATTCTTAAGGAAACAGTAGAAAACAATGATAATCGGCCAACAAGAAGGGGTCTCAGGTGAAAAAGATGGGTGGCTGCAGCTCAGAAGTCAGGTACAGTAAGGACAGAGGGGCCATGGGCTTTGGCCACACAGTTACTGGTGACCTTGAGAAGAGCACCCGGGCTGGAGTGGAGGGGACAACAGTCCAGTTGGTGCAGATCCTGGAGAATTCTGACTGCGGAAGAACAGGGCCGGAGGCGGGGCGGGGGGAGGGGTTGTTTCTGATGGGAACCACCGGAGCTCAGTGGCATGGCTTGGAGACTCTCTGGTTGGTTGAAAAGGCTTGGGTAGTGATGGACAGAGAGAGGGCCTATGTTCCAGACCACCAGTGGACAGGAAGGCCTTTGAGGGTTTTCCCTCGGCTGCCGCAGGAAGGAGGCCTGACACACCGTAATGTGTCTCTGTCCCCACCCTCTTCTCTTGCCATGCTTTGAGAAGACAGAGGAGAGGTGACAGGTCCCAAGAGGAGGAAGTCCTAGGAGCTAAGGAGCCGAGGACCCTGTCAAAGCCAGCTCAGACAGAGGTCCCCCACGCGCCCCCTGTGCTCAGACCTCCTAAGTCTCACGCGCTGCTTTTTCTTCACGTTTAGAGTCTTCTTCAAGATCAAAAGCCGAAACGCACACATGAAGACGCACAGGCAGCAGGAGGAACAGCAGAGGCAAAAGGCTCAGAAGGCGGCTTTTGCGGCGGAAATGGCAGCCACGATCGAGAGGACTACGGGGCCGGTGGGGGCGCCGCGGCTGCTGCCCCTGGACCAGCTCAGTCTGCTCAAACCCATCAAGGACGTGGACATCCTCGACGACGACGTCGTCCAGCAGCTGGGAGGCGTCATGGAAGAGGCCGAGGCCGTGGACACCGATCTCCTCTTGGATGATCAAGACCCCGTTTTGCTTCAGGGGGACACGGAACTGTAAAGGCCTGCTTGTCGCTCAGAGACGGCGAAGCTCGCGGCCTCCTCCGTCTTCACGCATCAGGAAGCCTGGACTGCCTGCTTGTTCTGTAACCATTTTAAACTACCTGTTTAAAAAATGGTCGTTTTATTCAGGTTTAGAAGAAAAAAAATCCAGTTTCTTTTCCTTTTATTTAAATCTGTTTTCTTGTGGGAGGTTGGGGGGAATAAATAATTGGCACAACTCTCCGTAAGAGGTGTCTCGTCTGGGCTGCATTCCCGTGAACTCACTCCTGGTAGGGGGTGAGCCTGGCATTGATGTTCTTTTGCTTTCAGATGTCACCCCTCCCGACTGCCTTTTGTCCCAAAGCTTGCGGTGCGTGTGCGTGTGCGTGTGTCCGTGTGAAGCAGGCTGCCCTCCTCTTGCTGGGGACTTGGGCCATCCTTTCCCACCGAGAGTTATTTTGGTTCTGCTCTGACCTCACTCTGTAGCGCGCCGTGAACTTGGCGTCTTCGCCGGGAGACTGTGCTCGCGGGTAGCTTTCCAGAGAGCTAAGGAAGCCCTCGGGCCACGCCTGCCTCTGCACACGCGTCCTTTGAAGAGTTGGCCAATGGGAGAATAAGTTTGCTCGCTGCCTTGCCTGTCACCTGGCCTGTTCCTAGGAACTGATTACTGTATGGTTTCAGGCTCGCGCTGCCCCCAGGGGAGTCACTGCTGACCTGGTCCATGGAGCAGTGTGGCGACCTCTTCTGTGCTCACCGTGGGTGGGCAGAGCTGTGTTTCCGTGAGCGTGCACTCGAGGTCCATCTGGAAGAAAATAACCCCAACTATTTAGCTGCCGGGGCTGTTTGTAGGGAGGGTGGTTGAGAGGCACACACTGAAGTCCCCGGAAGGCCAAGAAGTATTCTTTTGCCCCAAAACTAGATGGGAAGAGCCCGTTCTGTTTTGCAACACTGCTAGTGGCCAGTGGAGTTCTGAAACGACTCTGTGCCATTCCGAAGTCCTGTGAAACCGCACTCACTTGGGACTTTGCTGTCATTCATCTGTGCTGGACCGAAGTTTATCTTGATTTCTAACCATGAAGAAAAGGGTTTTTCTAAGAAATTTGATAGCAAATTCAAGGGATGTAGCACTAAGGGCCAACAAAAATGGTTTCACATACCGCTTTAGCTACAATGTGTGCATTCAAACAACGAATGTATTTGTTAGTCATTTACCAAAGCACTTGTACAATCTTCCAAGCCACGTAACTCTGCCTCCTCCTGTCCCTGTCATCAGGGTCTCTGTTTGTACTTGAAGGTCATAAACCTGTAATCCTTCAAAAATGCCCTGTAGCTCAGGCTTTGAGCTGAGTCAGGCGGACCTGTCCCACTGTTCAGGCAAATGCGCAGCGTGCCTGCAGACGGGACAAGGCCCGGCACAGAGAGGACTGCTCTGGTGGGGAGGGCCCCCTGGAATGTGTGACTCCCGCCCCAGGGAGGCTAGTTCCCCAGCTCCTGTGGGCGTGGCCCTCATGCCGGGCCGCTCTGGGGGCACGTTAATAGCTTAACCTTAGAGGCGGTCTCAACGGAAGCGTGAGGATGAGTTTGCCTCTGCAGAAGCATTTAGCACATATTCATGGCCCTCCGCGGCCCCGCCCAGGCAGTGTTCTCTGAATCTCAGGAAAGCCAAGGGCAGACGATAAATACAAAGGTTCTTTTCATTTCAATCGTTCTGTTTTCTGAAAAGAGATCTTGGAAGTTTCCTTTTCTTTAGGGGAAAACGAGGTGTTTTATTTGCTGCCGTTTCAGACAGGTCCTTCTCGTATGTTCTGAGCCCAGACCTGCCTGGGCACTGCATCACCTTCACGGCAGAGCCGTCTCAGAACCATCCCAGGCGACACTGGCCGATGGCCCCTGTCCCAGTGACCACTCCCCTCTGCTTGCGGATGTCTGAGAGTGATTCTGGAAAGGTTCTGCTATTGGGATGTATGAAAGCTTATCTAACAAAGGAGCCAACACCCAGAAAAATGTTTATAAAGCAAACGTATTCGTTATGTTTGGAGCCTTGCCCAGCCGTTCCAGTTTTAAACATGAAAAATAAAGTTGAGTTGCCAAGGCAAAAAATATAATGCACAATATAACTTTGATTTTCCATGCAGTATAGTGTAAGCATTTTTTTGACTTGAAATAACCAAAGAACTCCTCCTTAATGAGACAGTTCAAATTCCTGAATTAGTATTTTTGGACAAGATCAACTTAAAAAGAATTGACTTCACAGTAGAACATTGTGTGTTTTTTTCTGAAATGATTCTGCCTGCATGTATGTGTTGTGTTTTAGCTTCCCCCCAGCCTTCCCCACCCCACAGAACTTCTCTTCCTGAAGGTCAAAGTCTTCAACATGGTTACTGTTTACTATCAGATGGTTTTTCATTAGTGAATTTAGATCTCTTTGAGAAAGCTTGTATATAAAAAGTTAACAGATATATTTTATGGAAAAACCCATCTTATTTTCAAATATATTTAACTGCTGTTATATTTTATTAGAGGAAGGTTGTAAATATTTTCTAGGAGTTCTATTGTAAAGAAAAGTATTTTTGAAAAAAATTAATGTAATAAAAACGAAAACATTTTTAAATAGTGGTTGTGATTGCTTCCTGTTCTGGCTTTGTTATGTTCTATTCTCAGCAGATGACTTGCATGCCTTCCCATTTCAGGATGTAATTTATTCAGGTTTGCACTATAAGTTGACATCATAATATCTAGTGTGCTTAACTGTATTTTCCCCCGGAATGCAGGTCCCTGGGTCCATATCAAGAGCACTATGTATAGCATATTCATAATTTTTCTTTTGTAATGTGTGTATTTTTAATAAGGATTTTATGTAACATTTTGGCAAAAAGAGGACAGTATTTTCTAGTGATTTTATAATACATTTTGCTAAAAATGTTTCTTCCTAGGTCAGTTTTTGTTAAAAGGCGAACCAAAAGTCTTATTTTACCAGGGGTTTAAAAAAAAAAGTTTGAAGCTTGAAAGCAAAGTTATATTTAAACATCCCATGTAACAAAAAAATAAAGATGTTTTATAGACTTGTCCTAAAAAGGTGCATTCCTTTAAAACAAAAGGATCTGGGCATTCCATGCTGTTTTCCCCCCTAAGCGATAGCATTTTCTTTAAATTATCACAATATTTATTTTCAGAAAGAGAGCCAGGAGAACTCCACTGCAAAGGTTCCGGTCAGGAGCCGCAGAAATGTGTGGCAGCTCCACTCGAGAGGCATTCTTCAACTAGAGATGTAAGCAGATAGCCACTGTCTTATTTATTTGTGAAAACCTGACTCGATATATTGCATCAGCTGCTCTGAAAATAAAATGTTACCTTTCTGAGTTTCATTTGGCTTAAACATTCCTTATTTCTAGCCACGGAAATGACTTCTCTGTGCCGGATAGATTCGGATTTGCCTGTTAGTTGTCCTCTCTAGACCCGTTAGAAGTCTGCTGGTCAGATTTAATGGTCACTAAAGTGCCCGCCCCCACCTGAGAGGCCGGGACAGAGAATTCTGTACTCAAGCAGTGGATGAGTTGGTGGTCTCTAACCATTAGGGGCCTCGTAGTCACACAGGTATCTCACAGTTTGCATGCATTGCTAATCTGGACTTCCAGATTCTAAAGAGTGTGTTTACTTTTTTGGTCAACAACACGTGTGGGCGCGCACGTACAGTGCGATTGAAACTTTGTGGCCACACTCAAGGGGCCAAAGAGCCACATGTGGCTTGAGAGCCGCAGTTTGCCGACCACTGTTCTAGGTTCTTTTGTTGTTTTACTTTTATTTTGGCTATCAGTGTTAAGCTGATTGATTTGTGAAAACCTGACTCGATATATTGCATCAGCTGCTCTGAAAATAAAATGTTACCTTTCTGAGTTTCATTTGGCTTAAACATTCCTTATTTCTAGCCACGGAAATGACTTCTCTGTGCCGGATAGATTCGGATTTGCCTGTTAGTTGTCCTCTCTAGACCCGTTAGAAGTCTGCTGGTCAGATTTAATGGTCACTAAAGTGTCCGCCCCCACCTGAGAGGCCGGGACAGAGAATTCTGTACTCAAGCAGTGGATGAGTTGGTGGTCTCTAACCATTAGGGGCCTCGTAATCACACAGGTATCTCACAGTTTGCATGCATTGCTAATCTAGACTTCCAGATTCTAAAGAGTGTGTTTACTTTTTAATGGTCAACAATAAACTTCAAGAGAAATCTGAAATTCTGGATTCTATACAGAATTTGCTTCAAGTGGGGCACACCTGTGAAGACCTTGATCTTCTAGGGCAG